TTAGAGGGGAAGGGAAGGAGAGAGGGAGAGAAACATCAATGTATGGTTGCCTTTTGAGCGTCCCCCGCTGGGAACTGACCTGCAGGGAACTGGCCTGCAACCCAGGCATGTGCCCTGACTGGGAATCGAACCCCCATTGTCTGGTTCGCAGGCCCACGCTCAATCCACTGAGCTACACCAGCCAGGGCTCAATGACATATTCGTTAGGCTACCAGCCAGCAATGTGCTGCTCATGATTGGAAGCATAAATCCATGTTATTGATTTTTACAGTTTGAGGTTTGAACATTTTTCCCTACACAATCCTGTCATCTACAAATAATGAGAGTTTGATATCTTCCTTTACCATTGTTATACTTTTTTTGCCCTGGTCCAAATTGACAAAGATGTTTAGTACACTGTTTAATATTGGCAATGACAGACATTTTTATCTTGTTCTTGATCACAGAAGGCTTTTATGTTTTATCGTTAAGTATGACTTTACTACTTTTTATTGTGGTAAAATACACATAACGTAAAAGTTATCATTTAACAATTCTGAGTGTACGGTTCAGTGGCAGTGAGAATATTTACATTGTTGTGCAATGATCACCACTGTCCATCTCCACAGTTTATTTTCATCATCCTGAAATAAAACTATGTACCCTTTATTTTTGTTTTTTAAAAGATTTTATTTATTTTTAGACAGAGGAGAAGGGAGAGAGAGAGTGGGGGAAGAAACATCAGTGTGTGGTTGCCTCTCATGCACCCCCAACTGGGAACCTGGCCTACAACCCAGGCATGTGTCCTGACTGGGAATTGAACCAGTGATCCTTTGGTTCACAGGCCGGCACTCAATCCACTGAGCTACACCACCTAGGGCCACTCTGTACCCTTTAAACGATGACTTATTATTGCCCTTTTCCCCAGTCCCCTAATTTGCTTTCTAACTTTATGAATTTGATTATTCTAGGTACCTCATATCAATGGAGTCACACAGTATTTGTCCTTTTGGGTCTGGCTTCACTTAGCATAGCATAGTGTCCTTTTGGGCCTGGCTTCACTTAGCATAGTGTCACACTATGCTAGATCCTTGAACACTATGCTAATGTTCAAGGTTCATTCATATTATAGCGTGTATCAGTACATCCTTACTCTTTGCAGCTGAGAAATATTCCGTCCTGTGGGTATACCACCTTTGACTTACCTGTTCATCTACTGAGGGACATTTGGGTTGTTTCTACCTTTTGCTGCTATTGCTACTGCGGCTGTAAACATTCCTCTGCCAGTTTTGTTTGGCGATGTTTTCAGTTCTTTCGGGTATATACCTAGGAGCTTGTTTATTTTTAGAACTTGTTTGTTTTTAAAAACCCTTTATCATATTAAGTTCCGCCTTTATTTTGTTAGCTTTGTTATTTTTTTCATTACCATTTAGTCCCCTTATACACCCCTCCCCGCAGCAATCCCTGCCCTGTGCCTGTGTCCATGAGTCTTTTCTTTTTTGCTTAAGCCTCCACCCCCAACCTCCTCCCCCCACCACTAGCTGTCATCTGTTAAGTTCCCCTTTTATTCCCAGTTTGCCAAAAGTTCCTATTATGAAAGATAATTCAGTTTCATCAAATACTTTTTTGTATCTATTGAGGTCAGTAAGCATGATTTTTCCCCTTTATTCTAATAATGTGGCAAATTCATTGGTTTCTTCTTTATTTGTTTTGGCTTATATCCCTTTTTTCATTTATTTTTATTATTTTCTTTTTTTTACAATTACAATTACAATGTATCTCTAGCAAGTAAGACTGCTTTTTAAAACTTGTAAAAGCATATAACCTAAAATTTATCACCTGAACATTTTTAGGTATACAGTTCAGTAGTGTTTACTACACTCACATTATTGTGCAAAAAATCTCGAGAACATTTTCAATTTGTGAAACTGAAACTGTATACCTACTTAATAACACTTCCCCACTTCCCCTTCTCTCCAGCCCTTGGCGACCACAATTCTTCTTTCCATTTCTATGAATTGAACCACTTTAGAGACCCCTAAGTTTTGATGGTTTTATTGCGGTTATGTAGGAGAATGTTCTTGTAAGAGATACAGGATAGGGCAAAAGTGGGTTTACAGTTGTGAGTGCGTGAAACACAGGGTTTATATTTGTGGTGTTACTTGTTCATTTACACGTGAACGACTGTGAACCTGCTTTGCCCTGCTTTGCACACAGGCCGGTACTGGCCAACGAGCGAGACCTCCAGTTGTTTACTCACTATCAAATCGTCCTAGAGAAATAATATTTTTTTGTGCTATTCTTGTAACTTTTTTGAGTTGGAGATGGCTTGAAAATAAAATTTTAAGTAAAGATTGATATTTTTTCTTAAATATTTAGTATGTTCACCAGTGAAGCCACCAGGATCTAGAATTTACTTTGCAAGAAATTTTTTAGTTGTAAATTCAGTTTTGTCCTTCATCTTCTGTCATTTTGGCAAGTTTGTATTTTTCTAGGAATTTTACCCATTTCATCTACATTTTCAAATTCATTGGCATAAGATTGTTTATGATGTCCTCTTACCTTTTAAAGTTCATGCTTTTGCTTTCTACTTTCTTAGGCTTTAGTTTCCTGTTAGTTTTACTCCTTCTTGAGATGGATGTTTGAGTCATTGATTTTTGCCTTTATTACAAATCATGCTGCTATGAATATTTGTGTACAGGCTTTTGCATGAACACACGTATTCATTTCTCTTGGGCGTGTATCTAGGGGCAGAATTTCTGGGTCTTATGGTCACTCTATGTTTAATTTTTTTGAAAAACTGCCAGACTGTTTTCTGAAGTGTCTGTACCTTTTTTCATTCTTCAAAGACGTGTTTTATATACACTTTCTAGTTGTTCTCAGCCAAAGGTTGGCCTGACACAGACTAACCCACCCCCACTGGAATTGGAAGTCTCAAATATATCTCGTCCAGGCCCGTATTTCGCCCGTATTTCGTCCAGGCTTGTTACTCCTTCTCAGTGAAAAATTTGGTCATAACCACTCAATCCACCCTTGCTAGGAGACCACTTATGCATTTTAACTTGAAATGATTTTTCTTAAGATTTCATGTATTTATTTTTAGAGAGAGGGGAAGGGAGGGAGAAAGAGAGGGAGAGAAACATCAGTGTGTGGTTGCCTATTACATGCCCACCACTGGGGACCTGGCCCTCAACCCTGGCATGTGCCTTGAGTGGGAATCCAACCAGCAACACTTTGGTTCACAGGCCGGTACTCAATCCACGGAGCCACACCAGCCAGGGCTTAACTTGAAATGTTAATGTATGTGTTCACTACTAATGCTTTGACATGGGGCCTGTCCTGTTCTTGGAGTGAGGGTCCACTGATAAGGGTGCACCTGGTACTGCATACCCTGCACACATGATGTATTCTGTATGTGGCCCAGTTTCCATTTCACCAAAGTGGAAACATAACTTAAAGATAGTCCTGAGGCAACCCAATGACAGATTCTTTTAAAATTTTTATTCCCCACCCTAATTGTTTATAAGTATCTCACCCATGTTTAATTTGACAACTGTAATTTAAGCAATTTTTTAATCTAATTTTTCCAAAGCATTCAACATGGCTTTCGCAAAAGTAACAATGGTCTTTCTTTCTGCATGTATTTCATCAGTGTAATTAAATTACATGTTTAATTGAATGTTTAAATGTTCAGTTTAAATATTTAATTAAATGTTTAATAAGTTATATGTAATTAAATTACACATTTAATTGAATTGCATAATTAACGTATAATAAAAAGTTGAACTGGCATATGCAGGTTTAAGAACAAACACAGCTAAGCCATGTAAGCACTGAACTCAAGTGGTGGGAGCAGACGGTTATATTATTAGCATCAAGGGTTTGTCAGACCCTGGACACTGGTTAGAATGTTTGTAGAGGGAATGGGACCTGCCAGTTAGCATGTTGAATAAGCGAAGTGGACATTGTGTGAGAGACCTTGTAGAGGTACATGAGGCTGAGATAGCAGCCACACAGGAAAGCAGTAGAGAAGGAGCTCTTCGGGTTGTAAAATTCTGAAAACTGCCTGAGGCATAAAAAGCACTTAGGGTAATAAGGTTAAGCAGTGGGTGTGATCATGATCATTTTCACCATCATTGCCAGGGGTGTCTGGGAAGCATAGGAAGGAGCTCCCACCCGTCTCCTGCCCTCCTAACCCAGCCACCCTTTGGAGACAAAGCTCTCCTAAAGAGAGCACTGTGCAATAAACTATCGTACATCCACCCGCTGGAGTACTCAGCAATACGGCTGAACCAGCTAGAGGTGCACACAGCAACTTGGATGTATCGCAGGGGCATTGTGTGGAGTGAGATGAAGGAAGCTGGTCTCAAAAGGCTGCAGGCTATAGGATCGATTACTCAACAGTCTATCAGAGGCAAGACCATAGCAACGGAGGACAGATCCGTGGTTGCCAGGAGTTAGAGGTGGGGGGAGGTTTGACTACAATGGGAGAGCATGAGGGAGTTTTGGGGGATACCGGAACTGTTCTGCGTGTGTTAAATTTTATACAGCTGGCCCTGGCTGGTGTGGCTCAGTGGATTGAGCGCAGGCCTTCAAACCAAAGAGTCACTAGTTCAATTCCCAGTCAGGGTGCGTACCTGGGTGCGGGCCAGGTCCCCAGTAGAGGGCATGTGAGAGGCAACCACACATTGATGTTTCTCTCCCTCTCTTTCTCCCTCTCTTCCTCTCTTTAAAAAATAAAGTACCTAAATAAAGTCTTTAAAAAAAAAGATAATTTTAAAAAGTCATAGAACTGTGTACTCAAAACAACCACATTTACTGTATGTTAATTTGGAAAATAAAATTAAAACTAAAACTTCGAGAAATAAAGAGCACAGTGGAGAGCGTTGCAGGGTCCAGGCGTGTAAACTGGCACGGCCCCAAGTGCTGCCTGTTGGAACTTCTCGGGGGCAGAGTATGCACCAGACCTCATCCTCCTCCTTGGCCATCATCACTCACCTACTTTTCTCTTCCTGGGTTAGATTGGAGCTGGAGGGAGCATCACTGGGCTGAAGTTTAACCCTCTCAACACCAACCAGTTTTTCATCTCCTCAATGGAGGGAACGACCAGGCTGCAAGACTTTAAAGGCAACATTCTCCAAGTCTATACCAACTATGGCACCTGCAAGTGAGTAGGGTAACTACCAGGGGAAAGGGCTTCTGGGCTGTCAGTGCAGTTCTGGTGACAGCATCCAGATCCCGCTTCTTTTACCCAAACCTGGTACAGGGAAGTAAGGCAAGGTGTGAGCCACTCTCCATCCTTCTGCCGCTTTCTCACTCTTTCTTTAGCTGCTCTTATTCTGGTCCAGGTGGGTAATTTGGAGAGGAGTTCTGGAGCCTCCACTCTTCTCAGCAGCGGAAGGGCTTCAGCTCTCCTGTAAGTCCTTCATTCCCATGTTCAATGAGACCTTGATTCTCACTAGACAAGTCAACATGGCGTTGGCCTAGCTAGCCACTTAAAGCATAGAGCGGAGATGAGAACTTAAACTTAATTCCCTGCATCTGCCGGGGTGTAATGGCCTGACCAGTTCCATGATGGAAGCTTAAATGGATAAAATCATGTCTATAAAGCACTTCGGACTCCCGAAGAGCAAGTGGTTGTAGAAACTATAAGATACTTGTCACTTTGATTTCGAGCCAGAGACACACCCCTGCTCCTTTAGGAACTGAGGGTGTGAGGGTCTAACTAGCCCTGCATGCTGTCCTGGACTGCCCCACAGGGGTAAGAAATACATGTGCAGTCAGGACATGTGAGGACAGACCCAGCTGCAGGTTTCTCTTCCACAAGAAACTCTCCCTATTTATAGGGGATACAAAAGGCGGTGTAGCAAGGACTTGAGGGTTTGAGCTCTCCTGGTTGGATATCGGGGTCCCTGAACCACTCCCCTGCCCATGTCCTTCATCCTCAGGTTTCTGGGTTGTGTGTGCTTTTTTCCCGTAAATGCTCAGAAGGGGGCAGAAGTTCCTTTCTAGCCAGCTCTGAGGAGCAGAGCTGGGCAGTCCCTGTTTGGTTTGTCATCTCCTTTGGCTCAACAGGTAGAGAGCAAAGAGACAGAATCATAAAGGGGTCTTCCTCAGAACCCAGGGCTGCATGGGGCATGCTAACCTGAGGACTTGCCTTATAGTCCTGAGGTCTGGCTGCTTCAGGGGCTCATACTAGCTGAGGATCCCAGGCCCAGCAGTGTTTTGAGCCCATCACTCCATACCATCTGTCTGGGTGGTAGACAAATCTAGGCATTCTTCCCTGGGAGCCTGTGGCAAGAGAGTTATTCATTCATTCAACAAATATTTACTGAGTATCTGTGTGTTAGACACCAGAGCTATGACAGTGGATGCATGGGCCTTGCCTCTGTCCCCAAGAACCTTACAGCACAATCTTTCCTTTCAGCTTCTGGTTCTGCAGCCTGGATGTGTCTGCAGAAAGACGCATGGTGGTCACCGGAGACAACGTGGGGCACGTGGTCCTGCTGAACATGGACGGCAGGGAGGTGTGTTCTCCGGAGCCTGGGGCCTCCCTTTCCCCCCCTTACCCCCCCGGCCTTGTCTTCTGCCCCCACCTGAACCAAGCTTTCCTCTGCAGCTTTGGAATATGAGAATGCACAAAAAGAAAGTGACCCATGTGGCCCTGAACCCATGCTCTGATTGGTTTCTGGTCACAGCCTCTGTAGATCAAACAGTGAAAATCTGGGACCTGCGCCAGGTTAAAGGGAAATCCAGCTTTCTCTACTCGCTGCCGCACAGGCATCCTGTCAACGCAGGTGGGATAGACCTCCTTGCTGTAGACCCCGCCTACCCCACCCCTTCCTGGGCTTTCAGTCCAAGTTCAGAAGCTGCTAGGTCAAACCTTTACCCCTGACAGCATCTGCCAAGCTGATGTCTTGGAACCTTTCTGACTCTACCTGCCCCCATTAGCCGTGGAGTCTCTAGAATATTTTTGTTCACAGCCCAGATTTACCTCCTCCCTTCCACCCCTGTCTGGAGAACAACAGGAGGGAGGTTGTCTCTGCAAGAAAAGGCCTGTGAAGGCCGGGACAACAGGGGATCCGTGGCTCCTTCAGCTCAGGGGCTTTTTTCACTTGCCAGCTCATTTCAGTCCCGATGGCGTCCGGCTCCTGACCACCGACCAGAAGAGTGAGATCCGGGTTTACTCTGCTTCCCAGTGGGACCGCCCCCCAAGCCTGATTCCACACCCTCACCGCCACTTCCAGCACCTGACACCCATTAAGGTGAGTGACAAAGAACTGTGATCGTGGGTGGGGACCCATCAGGCCTGCCCAAGGTGGAGAGAGGACAGAAGCAGCCTTTCCTTCCATATCTCTTCCTGCCCTGACACAAAGCAGTCTCTTGTCCCCTGGACCTCGCTGCTCCTTTTGTCCCACTTCTGCCATCCCATTTTGCGGGGTTTTGTTTCTTTGATAAGCTGTTTTCCTGAGTTTTTTTCAACCCAGCCCTGGTCTCCTTGCCGAGGGCATTTTCTAAGATCCTGACCCTCCGTTCTGCCCTGTTTGTTCTTGGGGCGCACGGTTGATCTGCAAGCTAACCTTAGCCCGCTTCTTGTTAACAGCTTCTCTAGCCTCACTCCCCATGGCTTACAGTCTTCAAGTCCTGAGGTTCCTTCCTGCCCAAGTCCCTAAGCAGTCTGAACGCTGCCAGTTCTCCCCTCTACTGTTTTATATTCTTTTGCAGAACCATGGCCCTGTACTGTGGTCAGTGCAGCACACCGACCAGCGTCAGTCAGGCACGCCCCTCTGGGTTAGAACCTTGGGCGAATTACTTCCATTTTGGATTTCGGTTTCCTTGTCTATACGAGGGGAATAATGGTATCTGACTGGGTTGCTTTGAGGCTGAATCAGTACACGTAGCGCATACGCCTACCAGCTGGCAAGTGCTCAGGAAACGGAGATGATTTAGTGTTAGAGTGGCCCCCACACACCTCAAATCAAATCCAAGTTCTTAATAGCGCCAGGGCCCTTCAGGTGTTCCCGTGGGCTCATCTGTTGCCATCTCTCACTTCTTACCCAGTGAAGCCAACTTACAACTTCCCAAGTGTGACCTGCAGCTTACTTCCCAGCCTTTACATGTACTACTTCTTCCTTCCTGCTCCCATCTTTCCTCCTTCGAAACTTCCTTGAGAAGTTTCTTAGGAAAATCCCATCCATCGGTCATCCCAACAGCTGTTCACATGTGTTTTGAGTGGGATGATCTGGGGAACATAGGTTTCCTTCCCTTTTCGGCCACGGGCCACCTTCTACTCGACCCGCACGCTGATGAAGGAGGTAGTGGTGGGGTTACGTATGCCCTATTTGGTTTTGGTTACCAGAGACTTTTTCCGTTGTCATAGGATCACCTTTTTGGTTAATGTCTGGGTCAGGCTGATGTTAGAACATTGATCAGTTGGTATGATCTCAGCAAATGCAAGAGAGACAAGGCCTGAAGGCGTCCTAAGGGCCAGCTTCGAATTTGAAATTTACAATGGTAGATGTATACACAACTGAAAACTATTCTTGTAGATCTGTGTAGATGTTATCTCCATTATTAAATTGTTGGCAACTGTATTAACACTTGTTAGTGGCAGCGAATACTTCTGAAGTCCTTTTTGATCATGTTCTGCATTTACTCTCATGACCAGCTTTTCCATCTCTTAGGCAGCCTGGCATCCTCGGTACAACCTCATTGTTGTGGGCAGATACCCAGATCCTAATTTCAAAAGTGGTACCCCCCACGAATTAAGAACAATTGATGTCTTTGATGGAAGCTCAGGGAAATTGATGCATCAGCTCTATGACCCAGAATCTTCTGGTATCAGTTCGGTGAGGTTTGGGCCCTCAAATGATGGGAGGATGCAGGGAATTCAACCTACCTCATTGACCAGAAATGATCAGAAATGAGTCCTTGTGTGCGCTCCTGATACCTTCACCCCCCACCTCATGCTTATCCCCTTGTCTCTGCAGCTCAATGAGTTCAATCCTATGGGGGACACGCTGGCCTCTGTGATGGGTGAGTGAAGTCTGCTGTATCTCAGAGTGGCCAGGCCTGACCCTGCTCCCCAAGGCTCAGTGCAAGCTAACGCCAGCTTAGCCCTGCCCCATTCACCCCAGGGTAGGAGTCAGTGAAGAAGATAATCAGGAGACAGTGGTCTCTTTGGCCTAGGCCCTCCACCCGTCTTGCTTTGTCTTGGTCACAGCAATGCCTGGGTGCTGTCCAGTTCCCTGGTATTTCCTTACCAAGTTCTAGGTTCCCTGGGCCAGCCCCAAGCTCTGAGAGACTGACAGTGGAAGGCGAATCAGACTGGTCTCACTCTTCCTAGGTTATCACATTCTCATTTGGAGCCAGCAGGAGACAAGGATGCAGAAATGAGAGACGTTAATGAAGGTGTTGCTCCAAGCAAGGGCTTCGGGCAACATGAGAACAAGTCCTGCAGGAAGAGATGGCTGTGTGTCAAAGGGCCAAAGGTATCCAAGTCTTAGGGTTGGAACAAGGATGCTGTGGCATGGGACACTGTGGGGCTGGGACACTAGCATGTTATTGCTCTGGACTTAGCCCTGGAAACTTCTCCAGAGTTGGCGACCCAGTTGCCCCAAGGGTCCCTGCTATATCTAGCCTGGAACCAAGCTTCTCCTGGAGCCAAGGTACTTTTCTCCTCTGTGACGTGTGCTGGCAGAGTGATCAGGTGGTGGTGGGTTTTTGATTTGTGCCCCCAACTGACATGACCAATAAATCTATACTCAACCAAGTTTCTGAGTGGATCTTCCAGCACTGACCTGGTCAGAGCACCCCTGGGTCTCCCAAATGAAGAAAAGGCACAGAACCAGCACCAAGAGTCCAAAACTTTCATTTTCCTCAGTTTGTGGGCCAGTCAGCAGTCGTCCACTTTACAACCTGCATCTACCTCACGTCCCTGGAGACCCCAGTCCAGCTGAGCGGGCAGTAGTTTCATGACTACTGCAATTCTCTCCCCGCCCACCTCCCCTGACTACCCCCCAAAAGTCCTTCCAACCCACTCCAGCTACAGGGGTGACCGAGGTGCCTCAGGTAGTGTGTCTGACTCTAATGGTGGCTTCAGATGGACAAAGGGAAACTTGACTGGCTGGCTGTTGGGTGATCTGGTTCCTTGGTGGCCAGTGTTTGTGCCCCCAAAGTTATGTAGTTTTTCCCAGTAAACCAGGCACCGAGGGAAGACCGTGTCTTCTGAGCCCTTTGCCAAAGACTCTGGGCTGGAAGAGAGAGAGCAGGTCTTGACTGGGGAGGCAGGCAAGGCAGATCAGGCACCAGCTCCTTCAGTTTTTTTTATCCCAGGCCCCAGGTGAAACTTGACCACTTGTCTACATTCTGGTCCTTAGGGAGCACGGAGGAGGCAAGTCCTGTTTGGAGAGAGCCAATATCTAGCACAGTACTTCGTAAACATTGGGTACATGAATACCGAGTGACAGGTGCCACGGGCCAGGCCGAGTCCCACTTGTTCATCTAGGTTGGGATAATCAGAGGGAGGCCCAGCTCGGGGTCTCCTGTCCATGGGCTTGGGAGCAGCAACAGTCACGAATGAGGGCCAAGCCCACCTCCCCTAGGAGGCAGAGGGAAGCGGGCTGAGTGGTTGTCAGGCGTGGTCCTCCCCATCTGCAATGTGGCGGTAGCCAGGAGGCTGGGCCTGCATCCGGAAGAGGACGGTGAGTAGCAGCACTATGAGAAGGAAGAGGATGGAGCCACACACAGCCAAGGCCACGATCACCTCTGGGCACGGGGACAGGAAAAGAAAGGGCATGTCAGCATTTATTCAACAAATATTTGATTGCCCACCTTATGCGTAACCCTACCATATGTCTTACAATGGAGATATTCACAGTTAGTGACAAAACACCTTGAAGCAAAGCAAGGGAAGGGGGAAAGGATGGAGAGGTAGCTCAGTCAGGGAAGGCATCACTGAGGATAATTTGAACTGAGAACTGGAGGCAGTAAAACAAAGATCTGAGAGGAGAGAGTCCTGTGGTGGGGGCAGAGAGGAGACAGCAAGCACTCGCAGAAGGCCCTGCTGTGAGAATAGCTTGGCATGTTCTAGGATCATCAAGAAAGTATCATAAGAAAGGGGCAAGTAGGAGATGAGAGTGGAGGACCAGGCCAGGTGGTAATGAACTTGGATTTTATTCCAAATGTGATGGGAAGTCACTGGAAGACTCTGAGAAGGATAGTAATGGGAACCAATTTACTTTTTTAAAAAAAATTTAAAGATTTATTTACTTTTAGAGAGAGGGGAAGGGAGGGAGAAATAGAGGGAGAGAAACATCCATGTATGGTTGCCTCCCACGTGGTCCCCACTAGGGACCCGGCCTGCAACCCAGGCATGTGCCCTGACTGGGAACCGAACTGGTGACACCCTGGTTCGCAGCCCGTGCTCAATCCACTGAGCTGTGCTGGCCAGGGCCCAATTTACTTTTTAAAGAAATTAACTCTGCTGTACTGGGAGACTGGTAGGGACAGGAAGAGAGTCAGAAAGAACATTAGGAAGCTTATCAGTAGTTCAGGCAAGAGATGATGGTAGACTGGACTGAAGTGCAAGATCATCTTTTAAAGGTAGGCTTTTTATTATAATCAATAAAATGAAAGTTCTGAAAGAGGTTAAACAACCTACTAAATGTCTGATGACAAGAAGCCAGGCAAGAGTCAAAACAAGGTCTGGCCCAGGCCGGGTGGCTTGGTTGGTTGGAGCATCGTCCTGTACAACAAAAGGTGGGTTCAATCCCTGGTTGGGGCACATATGGGAAGGCAACCGATCAATGTCTCTCTCTCTGCTTTCTCTCTCTCCTGTTCTCTCACTCTAAAATCAATAAACATATCCTTGGGGGAGGATTAAACAGACAAAAAACAAGGTTTGATACCATATCTGTACTCTTAGCAACTAACAAAGTTATACTACCCAGGTTTCTAGCCACAGAGTCATGCTGCCTCTCCCCAAATGAGAAAACCTTTAGATCCAAAAGACACGGCTACCAGTCACAAGAGCACTTGGTCTGCCTGCACGGAGAATAGCCGACCCTCTCCTGTAGACGGCCGGAGCCGAATCCAAGTAGACCTTACAGGCTAGTACTGCATTTTAGAAGTAAATGCAGGGAGCAAAGAGATCAGACAGTGAGTGGATACTGTTCAAGATAAAAGCATATATTTTAAAAGTGGAGATGCTAGGATCTCCTAGTAGATTGGCTGTGGGGGATTATATTACGCAACTAGGTGACTAACGTGGCGTTTACTGAGATAGGGAAGCCTGGAGGCGGAACAGATTTCAGGGGGAAGAGCGTTTGCTTTCAGACACCAGCTTTGAGATGTCATCCATGTAGAGACCTCAAATCTGCAGCTGGCTACGTTAGTCCAGCTCAAAGACAAGGTCATGAATCTGTGAGTCCTAAGAAGACAGAACTTAGCATGGAGAGGTGGAGGAGGTCACTTAGGGAGCTGGCACAGATGAGACAAGGGCCAAGATGAGCCCTGGGCCACCCACTGTAGAGTGGGGGGAAGCCAGTAAGGAAGGGGCCTATAAGTTAAGAGAAAAACCAAACCCAAGAGAGTGTTTAAGGAAGGGGTGGCCAGTTAGGTCACACTGCTGAAAGGTGAGAGAAGCTGACTAAGAACTGGTCACTGGCTTTGGTAAGAGGAGGTGACTGGACCTTAACAAAAGTTAATGGAGTGAAAGGTGACACAAGACTGCCCAGTGTGACCCTGAGAGAAGGGGCAGTGAGGAAGTGAAACCAGAGTCTAGGCAACTGGGAAGGACCGCGCTCTAACAGGGAACAGAGAAGCGGAGCTGTAGCTGGAGAAAGATGGGGGTCCGAGAGGTTTTTGTTAGGCTTCTGAGATGGGCCTGACCCAGGAGGGAGGAAACACGGAGAAATCAGAGGTCCCTGTGGAGGCGGGAACAGATGGCCCTGAGTATAACTGGAGAGTGGGTGGGACTTAAAGCAGTATCTTGTCCCAGCCAGAAAGCCAGAAGATGTGGTGGTGGGGAAATGGGACCACTCTCTCCCAACTGTTTCTGTTTTCCCGGTGATACAAGAAGCGAGGGCATCTGCCAAGCACGATCGGGGAGAAGGTGAAACACGGTCTCAGGGTGGAGAGGTACGCTGTCCAGGGAACGGCAACAAGGTGGCTGGAAGCGTGGCAGCTCTCTCAAGACTCATGGGTATGGACTTCAAGTTGTTCTGGGATGTGACGAGCAGAGGCAGACAGCAGCTCACCTGTGTCTGCGGAACTGCTTGTCAGCTGACACTCCTGCTGCCAGTCCTTGGGCACAACGGGCTCTGTGAGGCGAAGGAAGTCCTGCAGGGGGCAGCGGTGGGGGCAGCCGGGCAGGCTCAGCGGCCAGGGCGCCTTGTCACTCTCATTCCGAAAGTACATCTCCACGGAGAAATTTCTGAGGTTTGATGGGAGATAAGACGGATGCTGCTCACCTGGCCTGCCCGCAGCCACCATGCAAGGGCCCCTCAGAGTGCTGACTGGTGGCCCCACTCACCCATTATCTTCCTGGTACAGTTCGAATATGTGGCAGGAGGCATAGGGGGCTTGTTTGCCGTTGTAGACATACAGCGCCATTTGCAGAGCAATCAGGGTGGTATCGTGCTGTAAGGCAGAGCGGCTCCCCATTAGCACTGCTCCCCCGCACCCCCCAGGCACTGAATAGAGGAGAAATCCGGCTCCTCATCCGATGCTGGCACGCTGGCCACGATGGGGGCTTACCGCGGAGTAAACCAGCAGCTTGGGGAGGTGGGCGGAGGTCGCCATCAGTGTCAAGTTCTTCCGGATCTGAGCCAGCAGGACTCCTGAAGGAGAGAAGTCCCCAGCGTCAGGGGCTGCGGCCATCACCGTCTTCCAATCAGATCTCGCTGTGCCCCCCTCGCCCTCTGCTAGTCCTGGGTCTGACCACCAACACAGAGAACTCTCTAAGTGCTTGGGAATCTGCTCTGACAACTGTCAGGTTTCCGGAGGGAAGCAAGATAAAACAAGCTATCTCTACTTCAAGACAGGTGTAGAAACCAGCCCTTTTATAAAAGAGCTACAAAGCCCTGCCCCTGTTTGAAGAATTCCTCCAATCTGGAGCAAATATAAACTTAAGATTGCTTCAGAACACACGAGACAGTGGCTCCAGGCCGAGGGAGCCCCGCCGCTGCAGGTTCTGGAAACCGCTGGGATGTCTGACCACAGCACTCCCTCAGCCCTCAGAGCAGGGAAAACTGGCCTGTCCGTGGCTCGCAGCCTTCTTTCACAGTGGTCCCCAGGGGGTCTCTGGAGGACGATATGCCCTTAAGGGAGAAGGGTCTTCTGACATGAGTGAAACATAAGAACGTGAACAGCAGAAAAGAAACATGCGAACCCAACTGTGGTCATTCACAGTGACAAATGTGCTAAGCATCTGGCAAATTACGGAAACTTTGGTGACTAATGGGAAGACTGGGGGGCGCGTCTAAGGGGTTCTGAAAGTGCAGGAAACATTTCAGATGGAGAAGTAAGTGTGTGAGAAGCCCCCAGAAGCAGACTTTTAACGCTGTAGGGTCCTGGGGAAGGGAGTGACATGCTGCTCTTGTCACTCACCCCCCTGAAGCCGGACCTTCTCTGCCTGCTCGTGGATCCCGAAGAGGAAGCGGAAGCTGAAGTCCTTTAGAAGGCTCAGACGCTGCATGGCTTGGGGTGAGGCCCAAGGTGGCAGGACCAGCCCATGCGTTTTCTGTGTATCGCAGCGGGCAGGTT